ACGGCCTTACAGTGGTGGTAAACATGGGCGCCAGGGCCGCCTGGACAGAGAGCAGACATGGCTCCTGGTGGGCCCTGGGAAACCTTCTTCTGACCCATGCTGCTGCCTGAGTTAAACTGCTGAGAGACAAATCCTGGTTGGGCTGCTCCCAGCCCACCGGGCTCCCACTGAGCATCGCAGTGCAGGAAGGCAGGGAATGTATCCTGAAAGGTAAAAGTGAGGCTGGAAACCTGCTTTCTTGGCTGTAAGAGCCACCAGAAGAAGAAACTCCCAGGGCTGGGCTGGGACTGCTCTTAGGTGACTGGTTTGATGGGGAGGTATTGGTTACACCCGTACTTAGTGTTAAAGTTCCCCAATAAGGGGCTTCAAACTGGCCCTGGGAAGATGCTGCCCAGCTGCACTGGGAGGTGTCAGAAGTGGGAGCCTCTCCTGGGCTGGATGGGGGTGGCAGGTGGGGTCACTCTCCCAAGGGCATATGGGTGAGCGCAGTGGGACAGCTCAAGCGTGCTGTGACACCAGAGCCTGCTCTGGGATCAGTCTGAAATGCAGCTGAAGCAAGGGCTGTTCCAGAGGGTGGGGGGACTTCAGCCCTAATCTCCCTGGCCCAGGAGATTAGGATTGCACGGGTGGCACCAGATAACAATTCCCTGCAATCCTCCCTCCCCAGGATAGCTCTGGCATGGGGACCTGACATAGGAGTCTCGTGGCAGGGCACAAATAATGCCTGGCGTGGTTAGTGGCTGCCAGGAGACATGTAAATCCAAGCAGTCTTCTCCTCTGTCCCTGCACCTTTGGGTGCCCATTAGACCTGAGCAGTACATTGCCGGGAGCACTGCCAAGGGGAGGGAGTAGGGAATCGGGCCAAAATCGGGCCGTGGCTCCATCGGGGACACAGCTCCCTCTGGTGAGGACGCAGCTGTAACAGGCACCAGGCGCTGGACATCACAACAGTCATAGATGTCCTTGGGCAAGGACTTGCAGGGGGTGAAGGTGGCAGCTGAAGGCGGGAGGCAATGCCAGGGCTTCGGGAATCTGGGGAAGAGGGAGCTCCCACGTTGGATGGATTTCGCCTCTTTGGGAAGGGAGAAAAGCTACAAACCTGCTGGGTCTCTCACAAAGACATGCTGGATGCCTGCGCTCAGGGCACACCCGAGCCAAGAGCAGGCGCGGAGCAGCGGGGGGGTGGCAGGGACAGAAGGTACCTGTCCCCCCGTGTCCCCGGGTGCTGGCCGATAGATGGCGGTGCCGCCTCTCTCTTGGGGACAGCCCCTGAGCCGTGTCCCAGCTGCAGCCCGGCAGACACGGAGCAGCACCGCCAGCGGAGAGTCGTCCCGGGAAAGGGTCTGTGGATTGTATTGCCCAGGCAGGGGGATGTGGCACGGGGCAGCCGGGAGGGGCTCTGCTCGGACCAGAGCTCTGGGTTTCAGCAGTGCTCTGCTCTGGAGGGGATCAAGATGCCAGTCTCTTCTAGACGGGACACTGAGTCCCGTGTCACAGCACTGTGCCCCGTCCCAGGAGAGAAGGAACGCCTAAAACCTGGGATCCCCCGCAATGCTTGGGTGTAGTCAGCCTGCAATGCATGGGACAGGCTGGAGGACTAGGGGAGGTCTGTGGCCATTAGGGTCTCATCAGAGGAAGGGAGGCAGGTCCCTGGCCCTCCTGCTGGCAGACAAGTAGTTGAAGAAACCATCGCTGGAGGATCCACAGCACAAGTACTATTTAATTACTTGATCCATGGCTGGCCACAGCTTTATTGGCACTGAAAAGAGCGCTTGTGTGACAACCTGGCATTGTCAGTGCCAGGAGGAGCTTCCAGCATCTCCGAGCACTGACGGCTCTGCAGAGCCCCAGTGACCAAGCAGCCCTGGCAGCTCACAGCTCATGGCATGGGGTAGCTGCAGTGGGAAGCACCACAGAGCAGAAGCTGCCACCCCAATCCAGATCCAACACAGAGGACTAAGCCCAGCACCACCCCAGCACACCACTGGGTCCCTGGGCTCCTGGCTCCAAGGGAGCAGGAAGTGGCTGTGCCCGAATTGAAGTAGATGGGACCAGAACTCACTGGGGTCTGCCCAGGTCCATGGGCAGCCTGACCAGCCTTGCTGGGAGTAGGCAACTCACTCTGCACACTGCTGATGGCAGCAAGTGGCTTGTGAAGTATTAAAAACATGAGGGGAGGGGGAGGGGATGACCGCAGTGGGGTGAAAGGAGGGATGGAAAGAGATATCAGGAAGGAGAGGAAATGAGAGCACATTTGCAGTGCTGCAGAAGCAACAGCACTGCTCCCCTGTGATCCTGAGCATGACAGAGAGGACACAGAAAACCAGCTAGTGCTGGGGTTTGGATAGAGCCTCCCTGTGAACCACTGGACAGAGGCAAGGAAACAAAAACCAGAACTGGAGCCCATGTACAGAGCAGGCCTGAGGCCTGGTAGTTAAAGTCTGGCTGCCCCAATAGTCCCTCCTTTCCTTTAAGTCAATGCATTGTTTTAGTGAATCTTGTCCCTGTCCGAAATCAATCAGCGCCTTCCTGCCCTGACTCCCAAACAGCAGTAAATCCCCCGATCAACCAGGAAGAAACAACACATGCCCTCTGCCCCTTCACCATGGCCCTTCCATCTCTCCCTCATGTCCCTCTGCCTGCACTACAACCACAGCGGGATCATGCTGGAGGGATCTTCACCAGCACCCTGCACCTCTCACTCCACCAGCAGCACCCCGCTTTGCCCTGGGGCATGAGGGACAGGGTGCGTCATAGGCGGGTGCTGCCTCCAGTGCAGCCATGCAGCGACTTCCCTCCATTGTGTCTCCCCTCCCTAGGCAGCAAATCCAATCTGCAGTCTCCCACCATCTCCCTCCCACCAGTCTCCGCTGGCTGTTCCTCCTCTTTGGAGCACTTTTCTGCCGCTGTGCTCCAGGCCCCCCAGCACCCCCAGCCCTTTGTGCCACTTCGTCATCCCCATCAGCTTGGGGGTATTGGGTGAGAGTCTGCAAAGGGGTTCCTCCCACTAATCCGCTGCCCTCCCCTCAGTCTGAGCTAGTGGGACAGCTGGGATCTGTCCCGGGAATGGGGCTCGCTATGGTGGACATCTAGAAACTTCCATCGCCATGGCACATCGGCCTGCAGCCAGGCCTCTTGGCTTCCCCTGGCCAGGCACTGCTCCAGCTCTCCACGGGAACCATGGGGCCGGGGAGCACACACGGGTGTCACCAGGCACAATTGGGGTGAGCACAGCACTAACCTCCTGCCTACAGCCATGCTGGGTGCTGTACTGATTGATAATGCTGGTACTGCCCGGCATCACCTCTTGCAACATGGCCATGGGGTCCCCATGTGCCCTTTTTCTTTACACCACCATCCCTGCTCCGAAGGTGCTGTCTACAGATGTGGGCAGCATGTCCCACACCAGGGATCTCGTCTCACCTGGGATCTCTGGTCCTGCTGGTCATGAAGTAGATTTTTAACCAGCTGCCACGCACTCGGAGGGGACATGCTAAGCCAAGAGCTCCCCTCATACACCCTGATTTTGGAGGAGCCTGTATTGTGGTTACAATTCCTCTGGCTTGTACGTCAAGGCATGAACTCACACCGGTCTATTTCTGCAGACAGTCTGGCAGAACACAGAGGAAAACGCAACTCCTTCCTATGGCAGAGACAAATCTCCCCAGGCTGACTGCTGCAGCAGAGAGAATTACCTATCTTTGTTCTTGGCTATCCTGTTTCTACCCACGAGACCGCAAGGCCTTAACCACTCATCTCCGAAAGCCAAGAGCCGAGCCTGGGCTTCCTCTCCCGCGACACCTTGCTGCCATCCAGCAAACAATCGGCTGGGTGTGCCGCATCCTCTCCCGCTGGTCTCGGTGTGGCTCGGGGGACAGCAGGGTGCTGCGCCGAGCCAGGGCTGGGAGCCGGGGCTGCTGCTTGCCTGTTCTGTCCCCACGGTGTTGCAATGGAATTTCTCTGGTTCCTTTTGAACATCAAATCCCAAGGGTGCGCGTTCAGATTGTGCGGTGGAAATGCGCAGTGTAAAAGGCTTTAGCAGGGTGAACGGTATTTACCTGCTACTTCTGCCGCGGCTACAAGCCCGGTTCCTCTGCTCGCGGTGGAGGCACCATGAAACGGCAGGCACGGAGAGGGCAGGGGAGGGCACAGTGGGCTTCGCTGAGCAAGAGAGGAGGCACACTGAGCCCCTGGCTGCGTCCGTCCCGTCCTCTGGGAATGTCTTCGGGAGCTCCGACGCCGCGGCGGGGAGATGTGCGGCACGGTGCGGGAGAGCTCACGGCGCCGCTGGTCTCCGCCGCCACCCGGGCCGAGCCAGACGGTGCTCCGCGGGTGTCCTGCCCTACCCGGGAGGGACTGCGGCGCTCGGCAGGACCTGCCCGGCAGAGGCACGGCCGCGGCGGCGGGGCCAGGACCGCTCCGAGGGCTCAGTGGCGGTGGGACGGGGCGGCCGGGACGGGGCGGGCGCCGGGCCATCCCGCCGCCGCTCCAGCGGGGTTCGGGGGCCTCGGCCACCCCATCCCCCTGCAGCCGAGAGAAATGGCTGAACATGTAGCAATAATGCCCCGGTATTCAGGCTGCCCGGCCCGGACGGCCCTAATCAGCGGCCCGCGGACCCCCCTCTTCTCCCCCTGCGCTCCCAGAAAGGGGAACAAAACCCAGCACGTTTCTGCAGCCCCCGCGCATAAAGCGCCGGGCCTGGGCCTCAGTGGGGGGCAAAGCGGCCCGTCAATCTCGGCGCCGGGGCCCCTTTGTCCCTCGCCTCCCTGCCACACCTTTTGTTCCCGAATCCAATAAGCGCCTATTCCCGCTACCTTCCTCGGCGGCTCCTTTCAGCGCCGGCCCGGCCGCCACAATGGGCCCGGCTCTGAGCTGCGCGGCCCCATTCAGCGCCCTTGGCACGCTCACAAGCCGGCCGGGCCGCCCTGCCCCGCGGGCACGCCGCTACGACCTCCCCGCCGCTGGGCACCGGCCGCTGGGCGAAGGAGGAGCGGGCGGTGGATATTGCACCTGGTTTATTGACTGACTCGGCGAGCTGGCGCTGGCAGTAACCGATACAGAGTAGATAGAGGGGCCGCGGCACCCCCGGGCCCCGCCGTCGGCTTTTTACAAGCAAAGCTGCTCCGCGGGCGCGGCGCGATCGGCCCCTGTCCGCCCGGCCGTCGCGGCGGCTCCGCGGGTCGGCGGCTCTTCGCTGCGAGCTCGGGCAGCCCCGTCCTGCCGCGCCGCTCCGCGCGCTGCCTGTCCCGCACCGCGACCCGCGGGAGTGCCGGGGTCCTCGCCGCGCCGTCCCGCCGCCGCCTCCGTTCCAGGGCGCGCATTGCGCGGCAACCAGCCGGGCTGCGGTGCGGATGATAACGGGGCCCTGGAGCCGCTGGGCCGTCCTGCCGGTCCGGTCCCGGCCCTCAGTGCGTGCGGGCTACCAGGCCCGGATGCCCTGCAGTGCGCCCTGGCTGCAGGAGGGCCCCGCCGCCGCCTGGTGCAGCGGCTGGCCGCCACCGCCGAAGCCCCCCAGGCTGCCCACGTTCACGAAGGGCCCGGCGGCCGCCGCCGGGCTGCAGGTGGCTTGCATGGAAGCGCCGCCGGTGCCCGCCGGGTAGGTGCAGCCGTAGCCGGAGTTGTAGGAAGCGGCGTTGCCGTAGCCGTAGGCGGGGAAGCCGTTGTAGGAGTAGGGCCCGTTGTATGCCGAGCTGTAGCCCTGCGACCCGCCGAGGCACGGTTTGCCGTCGCGGACCAGCACGGGCACGGCCACCCTCCGCGGCGGCGGCGGGGCCGTGGGGCCGCCCAACTCCAGCGACTTGTCCTGCCGCTGCCGCTTGCACTTGTAGCGCCGGTTCTGGAACCAGATCTTCACCTGTGTGGAAGTGAGCTTAAGGCTGCTGGCCAGGTGCTCCCGCTCGGGTGCCGACAGGTAACGCTGCTGCTTGAACCGCCGCTCCAGCTCGAAGACCTGAGCCTGGGAGAAGAGGACGCGCGGCTTCCTTCGGCTCCGCTGCTTCGGCCTCTCCGCCTCCTCCGCTTTCTCCGCTGCATCCAGCGGCTTCTTCAGGACGCAGCTCTCTGCACGGGGGAGCACAGGTCACGACTGCACATCGTGACACCGGGCGCAGGCTGCTCCCGACGGGCCCCACCGGCGGGCGAAAGCCCCGCGCCGCTACGCACCCGTCGGGCAACCGCGGGGCGAGTGGGAAGGCAGCGCCGGGACAGGCTGCCTCCGGCACCGCCGGTGTTCTAAGATGGGCCGGATCGGACGGCGGAGCCAAGCGCATCCCCGTGCCTCTGGCCCAGCTGCGGTGTTACTCTTGCGGCACCACGGGGCCGAGCCCCGGGCCGCACCGCGCACGGTGCCGGGCACCTGCTTCACCGCCTCTCTCCCGGGTTGGGCCTAACCCGCCCCGTTCCCTGAGCTCCGCTACCAATATTTTGGAGCGCGGGCCTGATGCGGCAGCTCTGAACTGGGGTCTTGCGGAGGAGCTTCCCGGGGAGGCGGCGAGCAGGGCTCGGAAGAGGGTGGTGGCAGCCCCGAGGTGCCAGTCCCGGCTGGACATTTCCAGGGAACGCGGCCGCGGCGCCGTGTACCGGGTGGCATCGTCGGGACCGAGGCTCCGCGGAGCGGTGCCCCACGGGCCGGGAACGCACCGCTGGGAGCGAGCGCGGGAGCGTCCGAACTGGAGGGGCGGGGGAGCGCGGCGGGGCCGATACTCACTTGGGGTGCGGGCCGCGGGGTCCAGCTCGTCTCCTGGGCCGGGGCCCTCGCAGGAGCCGCGCAGCACGGCGTGCACGTAGTTATCGGCGGAGATCCGCGCGTCCGTCTGGCTGCCGGGAGCTGCCATGGAACTCAGGTAGGACAGCTTCTCCTCCTCCTCTTCCTCCTCGCCGTCGGAGAAGCGGGCGCCGTCGGCGGCCGCCAGCAGGCAGGCGGCGGGGTGGAAGTGGTGCTCCAGGTGGTGCGGGAGCTGGGCCCCATAGTGCGGGTCCTGCTGCTGCTCCAGGTTGAGGATATCTTTGACAGAGAAGGGGGTGGAGGTGACGGGGCTCGGTAACATCATTGGGGCAGCACAAGCAGCCAGGCAGTCCCGCGAGCCCAGCGGCGCCCGGGCGGTGGCTCGGCGGGGAGCGCCGCTCCCGGTGCTGGGGGGAGCAGGCAGCGCCGAGAGACGAGGGGCCGCGCCTGCTCCTGTCTAAGTTGCCTCCATTAGCCCGGCGCTGGGGGTCTGCGTTTTGTTACAGCTTCTGCAGGGACAGCCAAGGGCTCGGGAGCCTCCTCTGCCCCGGGCCGGCACGTCACGGCGAGGAGGGGCCGGGGGCGGCCTCGCCATTGGAGGGAGGGGGAGGCAGAGCCGGCCCCCTGCCCGGCTCTGGCCGCCCGGCCAGAAATAGCAATGTATTAAGGCTGCTCTCGGTGCGGCCGCTTCCCCCCTGAGCGCCTCGCCCGCCCGGCACCCCCCCCTCGGGCGCGGTAACGGTGCGCCGGGGCCGGGGTCCCCGCAGAGAGCTGCGGAAGACACTGCCGCTCCCCCCCGCCCCCCCACCCCCCAGTGCTAAGCACGTGTAAGTAGGTAGGGACCCCCTCCCCGGCGGCCACGGCCCGCACACGGCTAAGACCGGCCCCGGGAGGGGCGAACATGCGCTGTCCCGCCGTCCAGGCCTGCTCGCACCGCCGGCACGGCTGCCTGGCCCCGCAAGTACCTCCCGCCGCCCGAAACGCTGCGTGGAGAGGAGGTTCTCGTCCCGCACTCCTCCCGAAGCCGACGGCCACCTCGCCGTCCCGCGCATTGCACATACCCGACCCACTTCGCATCCCCCGATGCCCCCCGCAGGTGCCCCCTTATATTTCCCCGCCACCGGCCCATCGGCAGCTCGCCCGGCCTCTCCGCAGCTCGCCCGGCCTCTCCGCAGCCGGTGCGCACCGCGCTCGCCCGGGGAATGCGCGCTCCGTCGCCGCTGCCGGATCGGGCCCCTCAGCTCCGGGATTTTCAAACCCAGCCGGGCCTGGCTGAGCCGGGTCATACGAGCACTCCGAATCTGCGGTGGCGATGGACTAGGGCGAGGAGAGTTATTCCGCACTCTTCGGTCTTTCCTTTCGATTTCTTTCGTTTTCTTTCGTTTCGTTTCGTTTCACCCGCCAGTAACGGGAGACTAGCGGCTCCACAGAGTCACCACGCTGCCGTGCAGGCGGGTGAAGCTCCGAGCGAGCCTGCAGAGACCCCTGTGCACTGTGACTCTCCCGGCACCGGGGCTGCGCCAAATACCGGCCGAGCACCCCGGTGCGGTTCGGGGAAGTGTGCCGCGACCCTGCGGCGGCTGCCTGCGGTTCCAGAACCCCTTCAAGGGCTCAGCGCCGCCGAGACATGGGGAGCGGGCTCATCGAAAGAGGAGCGGGGGGTCCCGGGGGAGATCTTTCGTTGTGATTAAAATCCTGCCGCCCCGCAGGGATCGGATCTGCATCGAGGCGATACCGCAGGGAGCCGGGCTTACAAGGCGGGCAGGTGAGTGTTCCGCGGCCGGGTATTCGCCGGGCCTTCCGGGGAGCTTCTCTCGGGTCTCTACCCTCAGTCGGCTCCGCCGTTTACCGGCTCTGTCTGTGCCCTCGTTTCCCTGCCTCCCGCCGCTCCGCACGCCCCGGAAAACCCCATTTTCCAGCGGCGCAGGCTGGGACGGGAGCCCCGGTCCCGCTCACTTCGACAGAGCTCGGGTGCTCCCTGTCCCGCGGCGGGACCTGTTCCCTTTCCCCCGGCTGGACGAATCGTTCCCACCGCGCCGCTTCAAACCAGTCGCCATAAATCGTGGCGGATCGGTCTCTCTTGCCGCTCCTGCCCGCCTTCCTCCTGTTCTGAGGCCGCCCGATGCGGACGGTGGAAGGGGAAATGCGCTCGCCATAACCAGGCCCGATCGGGCTCCAGCTCTGCCCCGTGCCGCCGGTGCGCGTAGAAGCCCGACGCTGCGTTCCCGATAACAGTAACAATAATCGCCTTATCGGTATTACAGATCCGGTTCGGCCCGCTGAGGGCCAGGGACCAGTGGGGTCTGACTTGCCCGGCGCCATAGGACAGGCCGGGCGCTAGGCACGACCTAGAGGCACGGGACTCCCCACCCGGGCGGAATCGGCTCTTCGGGGCCGAAGCATGGAGCAAAGGTGCTCCCAGAAAGTTGTGGGTTTTGCTCTAACAACGGGAAACCACCAGGCCCCGCTCAATTGTGCTGCCACGGGCCACGCAGAGCGCTTGGGGAGCCCACACCCCGCGGAAGGAGCGAGCAGCAGCCGGGATGACACGCACAGGAGCACCCCTGCCGTATCACGACCTTTTTCCCCGCCGGTGCTCCCGGTGCGGTAAGCTAGCCTCCAACTTCCTGCCTGCATCCCCCCTTTGGTGGTGCCGGATCTGGCCCACTTCTGCGAGACACGAGCGGCGATTTCCCAGCTGGAGAAGCCGAGGAAGCAGGGAGATGCTTGGGCCCCGCAGCGGATGCCACCCCTGTATAGCGCCCGACGGGCACGGCCAGGCCTAAGAGAGGGTGCAGAAACCGGGGTAAGGCGCAGCCCCGGTACCTGCCGGCGGGTGTCAGTCCCGGGATGCGGTTTCGGGGCCTTCCCAAGCCGGCTGATTTGGGGTCACGGGGCTATTAATGGTTATTTTATTTATATCATTAGCGGCGTCCCCTGAGCTCTGTTTACAGCGGAGCCTTGTTGTCCCGGCCGCTCCTGCGCTCTGTTTAGACAGGGGATTATTGTAATGGATGGAACTCGCAGTGCGGATGCTGCAGCGGAGCCAAGAGCCCCCCCCGCGCCCGGAGAAGGGGGAGCAGCCCCGCAGCGGCCTCGCACACCGCGGCTGGAAGGCAACTTCCCCCCTTTCCCCTGGGCCCTGGGCGCAGGCCGCCCGGTAGCAGGCGTCCGCTGCCGGGGGCCTCGCCCAGGGCGATGCTATCAGCCCCAGGGCTGCTAATTGCTCCATTAGTCTCGCGGGTGCCGAGTGCTGGAGCCGGCCCCGCACTAATGGCCGTAAACAAACAAACGCTAATCCGGCCCTGTCTCCAGCCCCGGTGCTCGGGAAGCCAACGCGGGACGGCGGAGCGGCCCCGGGGAGGCGGCAGGAGGCCTTCGGCGGGCGGCACCCACCTGCCCGCCGCCCCGGGCAGCCCGAACGCCCGCGGGCCGGGGCCAGTGCGGACCCGCGCAGCCAGGAGCTGCCCCCCGTGCCTGGCTCTATTTACACAGAGCCTGCCCTTGTGTAAACGCTGCGCGCCGTGGTTTATCTCAGGGCCCGTCTGTTTCTCGTTCTCTGTCAGCAGCGCCCGGTGAAGGATGGCCCTTTCCCAGGGGCTCGGCCCTGATTTATGTGAGAACCGCAGCGCGCCGGGGACGCCCTCGCACGGCAGAGACGGCGACGAGCCACGGGGAGGCGGCGGGTCCCGGGGCACCCACGCGCGACAGAGCTGACGGAGGCGACGTGCCCGGCCTGGCCTCGCACGCCACGGACACCTGCCGGTGCTCTGCTCGCTCCCGGGCCGCGCTCTCCCCGCACGGTGAGCGGCGGGCTCGTCCTGGATGTCTCCGGGCTCCGCTGCCCGGTGTGCCCGCATTGGTGCATCCCCCGGGTTAAGGTACGGGTTTTACTCCAGCCGCGCCGCCTGCCCAGGAGTAACTGCTTTTCACAGCTTTTTGAAGGAAAACTTTGTCTTTATTCTCCAGGAGAACAGAGGTTTCTGCGGGCAGTGGAACCAGATCCAGGCAGGGGATACTGTACACTCACCCGGCAATGTTCTGTATCTCCCGCTGCTCTGTCTCAGCCTTGCCCAGTGAGTGACCAGACTGTCCTGCCTGCTCTGGTCTCCTGGTGGACACCTGCCTCCACCCCTCCTGAGAACCACCTTATTTGGCTTTGCCCAGAACCACTCATCTAATGTCTATTTCCTTGAGAAATACATCACTGCACGTATTTGCTGTTCTTCGGTATTTTCTTGCACCACTAGCATTGGCTGATTTACTTTTGCTTCACAGTTCTTTCAGGGATGTATGGCTTGGAAATATGTCCCAAAACAAAGCCTCAGTGAGAAACATGTTTTTAGATGGTCAGAACCAGACTTTTAGCACCCTGAGGAATGTATACATTTCCAAGGGGGGAGCTTGATTTGGGGGATACCAGTAGCTGTGTGCAGCGTTCAGTGCTCAGCATTTTGTGGGATCAGAGCTGCCCATACAAGAGTGCTGGTAATTTCAGCAAGGGGCTCAGTAGGGTTAGACATCAAAGGGAAGGCTGCCCTTGGTTTGTGCCCAGTGGGCCTGTGAAACTGAGGCTGACACATTGAGGTTGGTGAGAGTCAACTTGGAAGAGCAGGTAAAGGTCATACTATGTCTGAGGCAATGCAGGATAGGAAATGTCAGTGCCGAGGACTCCCTCCTGCCTGCTTTTATTTGGTGTCTCTCATGCACAAAGGATATCCAGCCTTCACAAAGCCACCCTGCTGCACAACATAACTGTGGACGTGCAGAGGGTAGCAAAACACCTCTTCCTCTGGAGGAGAAGCTGTCATAAATCACCGCTTGCAGCTCATGTGATGAGAAGGTCCCCTGTCCAGCAGAAGGAGGACAGTGCTGCAGACACACGTACACAATCGACTTGCTACAACAAAACCCACAGCCTTTCTGGGAGCACCTTTGCTCCATGTTTCAGAAGCCATTGTTGCATGTTTGAATTCATGAGGTTAAGAAGCCAGGCTGAAATTCATCCTTCAGCAGAAGAGGCCCAGCACGAGGCTTGCTCGCCACTTGCATCCACAGGCCCACGTACCACTTACATCCCATAGGGCTTAAGTGGAGCCTAAGTGGACCCTGGGCCTTGAACTGGCAGCCTGCCTGGCGCTGGATTTCAGCTCCAAGCCCAGGCCTGCAGCTCTGATTCATGCATATAATCCTGCTGAGGTCAGCAGGATTCATCCTGCTCCCACCGCAGCCTGTGGGACGGTTCACACGAGAGTGTCAGGGTCAGGCTCTGTGTTTGCATATACTGTAGAAAATGGAACAATTAAGATTAAACCAATTAAAGTTTAACAGGTCTAGAAAGCATTTTATTACATAATATACAGGAGGGATTAGCCGTGTCGGGCCGTGCTGCATGTGTGCCGGGGGAGCAGTCCCTTGGTGTCCGCGGCACTTGGTGTTTCTGGGCTGGGGACCTCCTGTGCTGCTGCTGGGGCCGGCCACTGACAAACACACAGGCTGGGAGCACAGCTGCATGCTGGCTGCCATTCCCATCCAGCGCTTTTCCCTGAAGCATTCTGGGTGCAATGCTTTCCTTAGCTCGAGCAAAGCCTTTTCTAGAAGATATTTTGCACGTTATTCAGTGGCTATTTCTACAGCATCCTGTGGGGAGAGGGAAGCTGCCGTGCTTCTGTACAGGCGTGCTGGTGAGCAGTAAGCGGCCGGCTGGATCTCTGCAAGGTGGTGACACATGTCTCATCTTGGAAACAGAGCTGATAAGCTCCTCTTGTTTAGGGTATCTGCCTGGCAGCCAGTCCCCACTTCTCTCCCTGCTTAATCAAGATTCCTCCAGCTGCAAGCAGGGCTTGTTTCCATGTGGATGAGGCCATCCTGGGCATGTCTGTCCCTGAAGCTGGCAAATCTGCACCAAAAACGGCACACAGCTGAGGGTTTGCCAGGGTGGTTTTGGGGGTAATTGGGCTGACAAAGGATGCAGAAACCAGCACTGGCAGAAGCTAAGCTGCAACCTTGGCTGAGCCCACACTTGTGGTGGTGCATGGGCAGTTGCCTCTCCATGGTGGCACTCACACAGCCCTGCTGGTGTTCATCTATAGGTGCTGCCATGGGCTCTGAGGGGCACCCGCAGCCAGGGGCTGTTGCTTGGCTTCATCTTCTCAGCTGCAGCTCACCACCAGCCAGCTCAGCAGGGTTGTGCACAAATATCCCTCTGCCTTGCAACAACCTGTAGCTGTGGGACAGGGAGGAAGACGGGGGCTGGGGAACCTCATCCATTCTGTCCCCTCTGGGTAAATACGGGACAAGGGCCTGGCAGGTTCAGCTAAAAGGCATTTTCACATTGCTTTCAGAGGCCACTATGGGCAGCTTCCAGCTCTGTGAAGGGTTTTTCTGTGGTTGCTGCAAGTTGGTACTGTAGCATGTTCCAGAGCAACACAGGCAAACCGCTCCCTGGCTGACTACTGTGCTTGGAAAGGTTAATGGTGGAATGTGCACTTGGTCTGCATGCTTCTAATAAACACCCATCCTTGAGTTTTCATTTAAAATACTTTCCATATTTTGCCATGGCTGCTCGTACTGCTCCCTCCTGCGACAGCTCCTCACTGATGGCCACTGTATAAATAGAGCAGCCCCTGGGTTCCGCATGCAGGCGGGCAGGTGGGAGATTTGGAAGCTTCTGTTAATAGTTTGTCTCTGAGTCCGCCTAATGAATTCTCCTCGTAATTACAGTGCAGGAATTGTTAGTGTATCCTGATGATTCAGAACTTTCTAACAACAACTCCGGACCAAATTATAAACTGTTTTTCTATCTTTGAGTGGAGACTTGAGAGAGGATTCCTAATTGTTCTTGTCCCCTCAGGGGCCAGGGCTGGATTATCCCACACAGGCTTCTCTGCAGACTTGTTTTTAGTCTATCAGTGGGCCCTCTGCCAGACCAAAGGGATGGGGAACTCAGTTTTCCAGATTTAAATCTCTCCCTCCACCCTTCCACTCCACTTACACCTCTAAGGAAGAGCATGGATTAGAAAGGATTTGCCCTTATGGGGCTTTGGTTTGGGTTTGTGAAGATCTGTCCTTAAAAGCTTTGCCTTTTTCTTTTTTTATCCCCATGTAAACCTGACTCCTAGCTATACGCTGGGAATGGGCACAAGTGAAGCGCTCTGTTGTGTGGGGAGCAGACATCTCCCATTTCTTTTAAAATACCTCCCTTTAAATGGCATTTCCTCTTGGAGACAATGGCTTGACATGAAGGACAAGCAGGTGGGGACAGGCGAGGATGGTGTTTCAGGAGTTGGGTAAAGCCAGACCCCTCCTGCTGTGGTTGCTGTGATTTGGCCATGCATGCAAGAAGCTGGGTGGGCCCAAGGTAATCCAAAATGCATCTCTGTGGGAGCAGTGGCAGGGTAACCTGGGAATCTTCATATGGCTCCTGTGCTGGTGATGCCCAGCACACTGGAAGCCATGGGATGCTCTCCCCAGGACTCATCTTGGTGCTCTCCTGCAGGATCCCTCCTGCACTGGGAATGACCCGTGCAGTGATGCCATGTCAGGCCAACAGTCCCAGGGCAATGAGGCCGTTCCAAAGGTGGCTGGGAATTAGCACGAGGCCAAGGCAGCTCTTCCCTTCCTTGTCTCCCACTTTGCTGGGGAGCCAAAAGGCCACACCGCTGGCCATGCCCCATCTCCCTGGAAGCGCTGACGCCTGTCTGGCTGCCAGGACACCCTGCCAGCCCCATCCCAGGCATGTCCCCTGCGCCCATCAGTGGTGAGCAGGCACCGTGCCGCGTCCTGGGCCCAGGCGCCCTTCTCCAAACATCCCTCCCGCTGCGCTCGCCGTACCCCCGCGGCTCCGCCACGTCCGCCCTGCACACCCGCCCTTGCTGACGGCAGGGAAAGTAGGAGCCATGTCCTTGCGCTGACCTTCGCCTGACCTTCCAGTAACGCTCGAGAAACCCTCGGAAAGGCTTTCTCATTGTGCAGCCCCAGGGTTTCCAGGGAATTAGTCAGCAGGCTGGAATTGTGCTCTGTGTATGTGACCCCCCTCCTCTGCTCCCCCCCTCCTTGCCTCTCCCATCTCTGGAGCCGGACCGGTCCAAGAGATATGTTGCCAGGGTGACAGCGAGGTGTGATGGATGGACAGAGAGTGGCTGTGGAGTGGCAGGGCCGCTGGTCAGTAACCCAGGGCTGTGTTTATAAGAAGGAAGAGGCTGTTTCCTGGAGCTAACATAATGCAGCTCTAAAAAAGGCAGGGGAAATACATCATGCGAGGAGAGCGCAGCCCTGGGAGGGGAGGGCTGCTGGGGAGCCCAGCACCAAAGTGAGCCTCCAGGTCAAGGTGCCTTTGACAGGGGCCTTTTTTATAGGCCATTTGCGTGAGAGTTTGCTGCTGTTTCTCTGCAGCCCTGACAGCGGCTCAAGGCCCAGCCGGGGTTTGGGGAGGGTCTAATCTAAACTCGCTGTTTTCCAGCCCTTCTCTTTCAGGACCCACTGATTTATTTGGAAAATAAATAATCATCACTATTATTTCGTTGCTGCACAGTGACAGTCCCCTGCCTCGGCATGGGTCTGTCCCATGTCCCATGGCAGATGCTCAGAGATGCAGGGAGCTGGGGAAGGACCCTGGTGCAAAGGGAGCAAGGGGCTGAGTTGTCAGCCCCTGTCTGCCCCACCTTTGGTGGGCCCTAGGAAGCAGCAAAGATCAGAGCCACATCCCTGCATGGGATGGGGACCTCATGGCACTCTAGTTGCCTGGGCTCTGCGTTAGGACAGAGGTGACCATCTGGAAAGACAAGGGGATATCTCCTCCTCCTTCCCAAACACCGTTCTTGGCACTTTTCCTCCCTTTAGCCACACTGCAAGTGTGTGAGCTCCTTTTGCTCAGTGATGGCATCTCCTCTGCAGCCCCGCGCACCCGCTGCTGTGACAACTATTGGGATCATCCATACTTGTGAT